GGCACAGCCTCCAGCACGGCTCAAGGAGCAGCTCCAGCCTGGTCACGGTGCTGGTGTGGGAGGCAGCAACCTGCTCCAGAACCTGGATCCAGGTGCCATGGAAGGATAAGAGAGCTCCAGGCAGGGCAGGAGGACTTGTGGGAATTCTTACCTGGGACTTGGTGAAAGAGGGGCTCGGTTTTTCGTGCTTGGGAACATTTGTGTGGCAGGCCTAGACCTTCAAAGACCCCGTCCTTTCATGAAGGGCCAGCCTCCCTTTCCCTGGGAGGATGGGGGACACCTCCCCACCAGAACCAGCTCTGCTGGGAGAGCTGTGAGACTATGGTGGCAGGAACAGGGTCGTCAGCCTCATGTAAGTTCTGGTGGGTGGCTGCTGGAGGCCTCTGGCTCACCCCCTGACCCACAGCAGGATTCACCAGCTGCAGGACGCCAGCCCAGGCTGAGTTTGGTAGGACAGGACCTCTGGGAGGGAGCAGCTCTGGGCATCATTGTCTTGGGGTGATTTTGTAATGGTGTTTTACTCCCTAATTGTCTGCTTTACGCACAGAAAATGGCTGCTGTAGATTTAAGATGGGCCTGGGGGCTGGGCTGGGGAGCTTTGGGCTCCTGCCTGATTTTGGTTCAATCTCTCTCCAGGCTGGACTGGGGACACTGCATTGCTTTTTTTTGTGGGATTGGTTTTTAGCTAGCTTCAAGCCAGAAGGTTTTTTTCCCCTTCCCTTCCCTTCCCTTCCCTTCCCTTCCCTTCCCTTCCCTTCCCTTCCCCTCTCAGCCTTTTTTTTTCCTCCCCCTCTTGAAATGTTTTTGGCTTTTCTTATTTTTCCTTTCTGGGGAGGCAGTGGGGACCTTGGAGGAGCTGAACCAACATGAGAAAGGGCATTAAAATCCACCAGCTTTGGCTGCTTTGAGGAGAGATCCCACACCAGAAATCCAACAGGTTCCCAGCTGCTGTGTGAATTCTTTTCTCCCCCTCCCAAAGATCAGCCACCACCCTCACCTCTCAGCCACACAATGAGGTGGAGTTGGGGTGTAAGGTTCAATTTTATTTCTTTTTCCTGTGCTTTGCAGCTATCTTGCTTTGATAATGAACAGTTTTAATTTTTTTTTTCCACTTTCATCCCCCAGTATCCATTTCTCTCTTTGGCAGAAGAAAGAAGAGTTACTGAAGCCCCTTCTCCTTAGAGGAAACACTCATTCCAGGGCATTTCCTTCTGAATTTTGTCTCCAGAGCTGAGACCATCATCCATGAAAGCTTTTGTGACACCCAGAGCTGGTAGAGAACACGCACAGGAGACCTGGCCAACCCCAAATCTGCCTTGGATATCTTCCACCACAAAGTTCACTCTGCTGATCTGAGATCTGGTGTGAAGGGATTCCCAGGCTGGCAGGGAGATAGAAGACAGAGGAGTTTCCATGGAAAAATGTTTGTTGCTTAAAACTGGCCTCTAATGCCAGGGATTACAAGAGAAAGCTCTCTGAGCTGCAGCCAAGGATGAAAGTGATAATTAGCACGCAGTGCATCACCAACAAGCCCCAGCAAAGCTGGGAACAGTTCAACTCCCTGATGGCTCCATTAAACTGGCAGGAAGGGCTGTGCTCTGTGGGGACAAGGCTGCCAGGCTGGGGCAGTAAAATCCCTGATAAATGCATCCCACAGCTCATGCCCCTCCTGAGACCCACCCCGGGGCAGAGGAGCTCTGTCAGAGCAGGGAGATGCTCTGGGATGAGCCTGGAGGGGCACTTTGGGAGCTGATGGAGAGGAAACACCTGTAAGAGATGCAGGATGGGAAGTGAGGTTCTTCCCCTCTCCTCCCCGCTCCCAGGGATCAGTTTAGGTCCTCTTGGGATCCCTGCCCACATCCCTGCTGCAGAGCTGGGACCGGGATGGTGTGTGGCTCCTGCTGGGCTCTGCCTCCATCTCCTGGCCGTCCTTTCACTGACCCTGAGCTGCCTCCAGCAGGAAATATGAAACACACTGCTCAGGGGAGTGGGTGGCAACAGCTTCTCCTTCTCTCAAAACGTGTAACCCCCAAGCAGAGCTGGGCCTCCATCATGTCCCAAAGATTCCTGGGCTTCATCCCAGCAGATCCCCAGTTGCAGCTTTGTCCCTGGCAGGGTGAGGACAGAGGGCTGATGGGGACAGCTGTGTGGCAGGGTGACTCCCGGAGATGAGCACCACATCCATCATTCTGGCTCCAATGGGCCAGGCAGAAATCCTCCCTGTCCATCCCCAGAATCACCTCCCTGCCCAGGCATGTACCCACTCTTTCCTCACTTCCCAGCCCTGAGAGGGGTGGCTGATCCAGCACTCCACATCCGCTTGCACAAGAGGTGATGGGTGCTCCCCCTGCCCCCCTCCCTGGGTGACCTGGTTCCAGTGACTCATCTCTAATCTGGGCATCCATCTCTCCAGAGGGAGTGAAGCAGAAGCTTCCCAAGCAAGAGGGCTGCCCCAGCAAGGGCAGGGTGCTGACACTGGGAGAAGAAACTCCCTGGAAAATGTGTAGTGTTCCCTGGAAACTGTGTGATGGAATGCACACCTTTACTATCTGCAGAAATACTCAGAAAATTTAAAATATAAAAAGGAGGAAAACACAAACAACCAGTTGTAATAATTGCCTTTTCCTATATGTAGCATGCTGGGTGATGGGTAAATCAAGCAGTTTTCTCAGGATAGGACCTCATCAGCACTCCAGGGAAGGGGAGCATCCCACTGCCACAATCATTCCCCATGTCCATCCCTGCTGGGGACAGATGATAGAACCAGAGCATTTCTGGGAGCTCCCTCCATGTCCTTGCACACAAACCTTGTGGTGCTGGTTACCTTTAGAGAAGAAGGGGAGCTCCCTCCCCCTTGTTTGCACTTTTGGGAATAGGATATCTCCCCAGTGGATGAGTTTGTGATGCTTGTCTGAGCAGCCCCAAACCCTCGAAGGCAAACCCCACACATTGGTTTATCCAAGCCAGTGCAGGGCTCATCCTCTGCTGCCTCTCCCAGCTCCAGGGAGTGCAGTGGGGGATGCTTTAGACCCTAATCCCACATTTCACATGGTTGCATCTTCCCCCTCTTGATTAATTTCATCCTGCCAGTTACCAGCCACTCCTTCAGTTATCCTCTCCCACACTGGAGGGAGAGAGAGGTGGTTCCACCTTTCCAACAGGTCCAAAGCCCCACGGGTGTCCCTGTGATCACCCCGAAGGATTTGCTGTGAGATCCATGTCTCCATCTGCTTTGCAGAGTCTGTCAGAGCTGGAGCTGGTGCCCTGTCCCCAGCAGACAGCTCCTCAGCACATCTGCACACACATTCCCAGCCACAGCACCTTTCCCACCCTTTCATTTTTGTAAACCACTCCAGGGGAGGGATACAGTTCAGACTGGATCAGACCAATTGGGGATTTGAAGGGAAATGGCAAAATCTTTGCCAAAAAAATGCCTTTATTTCCTGTTGTGCATGAGTGAAAACTCATTTTTACCTCCCTCTGCCAAGGGGGTGGTACACAGCCAGCCCATTCACTGGGATGCAAAAAAGAAATATCCAGGGAATGGCTGTGCCAGTTTCAGAGGGAATACCCCAGACATGGGTCAGGAGAGTGTTTCTGCCATGCTGGTCCTTCTCAGTATCAATACAACCTTCTTCAGCCAACTGAAATGCCAAAGTGGAGGAGCAAACCCAAAGGCTTGAATTTCCATGATCTCCATGCTATGGCCAGGTTACAAACCTGAGCATCTTCTGCACAGTGGGGCTGGGAGCGCCCCTGGAGACCTTGCCAGGACCTTCTAAGGGAAACTCCCCGAGGGATGGAGCCAGGGCCATCAGGAGGCCAGGCAGGCACAGCCCGTGCTCGATGATCCCAGCTGGGAATTCCACCAGGCAGGGCTTTGGAGACCTCTAGTCCCACTAGGATCCGGAGGGGCCTGGCAGCTCCAGGGTCTACATGCCATGTGGAGCTGGACTTTTTTACTGTTCTCCAAGAAAAGCCAAGGAGATGAAGCCGACCCTTCCCGGGGCTGTGCCCTGCCCTTTGTGCCCTGAGCAGGAGCGCGGGAGCGGCCGGGGCGCTCCGGGTTAGGCTGGATGATCCAAGCGCCTCTGGAGGCGGGCACTCCAAAAACCTCCGGCAGCAGCACAGCCGTGACTCCACGCCGGGCTGGCTGCTGGCCCGCAGCTTTGGCAGGAGGAGCGGGCGGGCAGGCGGCATCCCGACGCTTCACGGAGCGTCCCGGTGCTTTCCGGAGCATCCCGGCGCACGCCGCGGCTCCCAGCCCGGCAGCGGCTGCAGCGCAGGTAGGCTGGCGTGGGGAAGGGCTGTGGGTGCTGCTGCTGCTGCTGCAGGGATATTCCCCATTCCCGGGGGATGCTGAGCAGCCCTTTCCCAGCAGGAAAGGGAGCTGTGAAGTGCTGCGGTAAAAGCAGCGCTTGGTGTCCCGAGCAGCGTCCCAGCGCCGTCCCCAGCTGGCTCCTGGGGGGCTGGCACACGGCTGCGGGGACGGGCAGTGCCGCTGTCCCCTCGGGTCATTCCCGTCTCCCCGGACGGTGAGGAGTGAGCTCCGGGGCTCGGTCGGGGTCTGCGCCGCGATCCGCCCGAGCCCCAGCACCGCGGGGAAAGCACTGCTGGAAAAGAGCTGGACAGCGAGGCCGGGAGCTCAGGGAGCATTCTGGGGATGGAGAACGGAGGAGGAGAGCGAGCTGTCCAGCGGTGTTTGCAGGTCTTGAGTTTTGCACCTGAGCACTGCAGCGATGCCCCGGCGGCTCCCAGGCAGCTCTGCTGCGGGCTGAACACCGGGAGGATGAAGGGACATCCCTGAGTGCACGGCCAGAGTGGAATGCAGTGTCCGGGGACGCTGGGATGCACACACAGCCGTGCCAGGGACAGGCAGAGCGCTGCCCAGGGGGCAGGGGATGTTTCTGTGGGGAATGCTGCATGGAGTGGATGTGTGGAGATGATTTTCTCACCACTGTCTCTCTGGGGGCCAGTTTCGGATCCTTCCAGGCAGCAAGATGACTCTGTGGAATGGCTCCTACCCCTTCTACCCTGGAGCCAATGCCTGCTTCCCCTTTGACACCACCCGGGCTGTCATTGTCACCGTATTCCTCTCCATGCTGGCCACGTTCATCATCATCCTGCCGGGGATCCCGGGCAGGGGGGTAAGTGGAGGGGCAGGGGCCGTTCACACCTCTGGTCCCTGCCTGTGCATCCCACATTTCTCCTCTTTCCCAGCCTCGGGAACAGATTTGGCAAGCAGATCTGCCCGCGGGCTATGGCCAGAGCTCTGGGATCTCTGGAATTCCATGGGGCTGAGTGAGCTCCAGCCCATCCCAGCATGAGCACCAAACTCCACCACCCCAGATTTCTGAGGCAGCTAGGGCTGATCTTGGCTGGATTTCTCTATGAACAAGCCGAAATTCTTTCACCAGAGTGGAATAGCAGGGTGAGGCTCAAAGCTCTCACCCCACCTTCCCAGAAAGCTCAATGAAAGAGGGAGGTGTGTACCGGGCATGTCCCAGCACTGCTCAGCGGGCTCTGCGTGGCCAACAGACCCTGCTGGGCGCCACACCAGGGCTGGTTGTGTGCCTGGCTTTGCAGCAGGGCTGGCTCAGGGGCTTCTGTCCCCCAGGGGACACTCTACAAATGCCTGGTCACTCCTTTTTGCTACAGCTGTGGCCAGCTGTCAACACATCCAAACACATGAGGTTTGGATAAGTGTGGAAATTGCAGCTGAAGACTGGTGGGGGGAATGTTTCCACCCTCCTTCTCCAAAAAGGGCTGTCACAGCTTTCTCCGGCGTGTTCTTTTTGTGATCTTCTTCCTCTGCCTGGATCTCCCTGCTGCCTCCCCCACTCCAGCAGGGATGCACGGGATACCCCATGCCAGCCACCCACAAAGCACACGGGGTGACTCCCCAGGGAGGGACAGGTCTGCTTCTCACCATTTCACCTTTCTGAATGATGTGCTTGGTGCTGAGGTGCCAAAAATCTGGCTGACCCCTGTGCCTCCACTCTGCTCCCCCCTTACAGAGACTCTTCTGGTTCCTGCGCTTGGTACTGGGGCTCTTCATGGGAGCAGTGATCCTCAGTGAGTGCTGGGGCCCTGGGGGAGCTCGTGGATGCCCAAGAAATGGAGGGGAGAGGTGGGGGAGGGTGAATAGATCAGTCAAGGGCCAAGTCCAGCCCATAGGATGAGCTCATGGGAAGATGGACACGTGTCTTGTGTCTGGGAGGTGGCTCCAGCAATTGGTGGAAGGCACCCATCTGCTCTGAAGACTGGTGGCCGTAACCAGGGCAGTCAGTAAAAGCTCACCACCAACTTCCAAGGAATTCAGGCACGCTGGCAGGGGCTTAGGGGAGAAGCAGTGCCCAGACAGTGCCACACATCAGCCCCACTGCCACCAGGGCTAGGATCTGTGCTGGGGCTGGGAAGAAACCAACCCAAGTGGGGCTTTCAGGGTCATGGGCTGATCTTGAGGAAGGACACACAGGATTTCTGCCCCTCGGGGCTAACAGCCCAGTCCTGGACTTGGGATGAGGAAAGTGATGCTCAGAGCACGGCGACCATCCTGGCAGCACCAGGCATCTTGCTGCCAGGCTGTAACTAACCCCTGAGGTCTTCACAGACGTCCAGTTCACCAGGGACTGGGAGAGTGGCTGGGTGCAGGCAAACACCTCCTACAAGTCCTTCAGCCCTGCCCAGGTGAACGCGGACATCGGGCTGCACATCGGCCTGGCCGGGGTGAACGTCACGCTCAGGGGTGAGTCTGCCGTGCCCATCTGCAGCTCTGGAGTGGCCGCGGCCCCAGCAGGCCTGCAGCTGCCCTGCGGGGCCCTCGCTGTGTCTGCAGGCTGCTGGGACCCCGCGGTGCCCGGCTGCAGGCTGGCAGTGCCCGGCTGCTGGCACAGCGGGAGCTCAGCCGCTGCCTCCCGCAGGAAACCCGGTGCAGCAGATCAACGAGACCATCGACTACAACGAGCACTTTCCCTGGAGCTTTGGGGCGGATTACGACCGCAGCTACAGCCAGGGGCTGCACAAGGGGCTGCCCAGCCCCATCCTGTACGTGGCAGAGAAGTTCAGCTCGCAGAGCCCCTGCGCTGTGCACAGGCAGTACCGCATCGCCGGCCACTACGCCTCAGCCATGCTCTGGTGAGCCACAGCCAGGCTCAGCCTGCCCTGGGAGCTGGGAAGGACCAGGGAGAGCACAGAGAGCTCTGTGGAGCGCCCCTTGGCTCCTTTGGCCGTGCCAAAGCCTTGGCTCTCTGCAGGATCTGGGGTTCTCATGGTTCCTGGCCTGTCATGGATTCATAGAATTGTGGAATCATGGAGTGATTTGGGTTGGATGGGATCTTAAAGCTTGTTGTTGCTCTAACCCCCCACCACAGACAGGGACACTTTCACTATCCCAGATTGCTGCAAGTCCCATCCAGCCTGGCCTGGAACACTTCCAAGGATCACTTCCCTAAATGTCTCCCATGTAAAACCAGGACAGGCAGCCACAGCTTCTCTGGGCACCCTGTGCCAGGGCCTCGTCACCCTCACAGGGAGGAATTCCTTCCCAATATCCCATCTAACCGTGCCTTCTGGCAGTGGGAAGTTATTCATCCTCATCCTGTCCCTACAGGCCCCTGTTCAAAGTCCCTCCCCAGCTCTCTGGAGCCCCTCCAGGCACTGGAAGGGGCTCTGGGGTCTCCCCAGAGCCTTCTCTCCTCCCCTCAACACCCCCAGCTCTCCCAGCCTGGTTCCAGGGCAGAGGGGCTGCAGCCCTTGGAGCATCTTTTGTCCATGTCCCCAGACTCCTCTTATGAGTCCTCTGCCTTGATGTACAAAACTGCAGTCAGAAAATCTCACTGGAGGGAAAACAGCCGTGGGCTCGTGGGTCGAGATCTCTGCCAGGACCAGGATAAAGAGTCCAAGCTGAGATCCACTCTGAAGGGTCTGTGCAAGTGGGCACAGACCTGCCTGAGGGGAGCAGGAGGGACCATCTCAAGAGGGAGCTCATGGAACTCAGAGCCCCCGTGTGTGCTGTGATTGTGGAGTCCCAGGGCACCCCCACGAGTCTCAGAGTTTTGGGAAAGGCACCCCCACGAGTCTCAGAGTTTAGGGAAGAGAGAGCCTTGTAATTCCCCCATGAATGTAGGCTCCAGGTTCCTGTACCCATCTCCTCTCTCACTTTCAGGAAAAATAATTACCCTCACCCAAACATTCCTGTATTTCAAAGCAGAAATGTTCACGAAAATTTTTTTTTGTTGTTTGTTTTTTTCTTGGAATCAGAAAAATTTCTTAGCTGGCATTTGCAGGGAGCTAAATGCAAGCCCCAAGCACAGGGCAGGGCTGGCAGCTGGGTGCACTCCAGGTGCTGAATCAGGTGTGGGCATGGCTAATGGTGCAGTTCTCCAAACAAAGGTGTCCCTTGATGCCATTGTCCCTCTGAAGACGTGGGAACTGCCCGGGGGTGACCAGTTGTGGACAATCACAAGAATCAGGAAAGAAGTTACTTTGGTGGGACTGTTACAATCTGATTATTAGAGACATCCTCTGGCCAAATTAGGGTGCAGATGAGGCAGTATGCTGAAGTCAATACTATGGATTTTATGTCACAGGAAATGTGATGTAGACAAAGATAGAAAGAAATAGGAAAGGAGAGGAGAGAAAGTGAGAGAGAGACAGATTAGGTAAGAAGATATGACCACCCATGGACCCAGACAGAGCCCCTCTGATGCTCCTCTTCTGGTCCTCTCAGAGGTGAGGGTCCCAGGGAGCTCAGAGCCCAGTGCTGGTTCAGGTTTAGGTGAGAACACCCAGGCACCTCCCTGCAGAGGGGAATTTTACACTTTGCAGTGCTGTGGATCAGGGGTATTGCTCTGTGGAAGGGTCTCGGGCAGCTTTTGGGGTGTTCCATGGTTTGTGACCCCTTCTAAGGCATGACCCTGGCTCTCACACCGGTGTTGAACCATTTCTGCCCCCTCGGAAGGGGTGAAAACCCCCAGGCCGAGGTGTGAACAGAAACAATGTCCCGTGTGAATGGATGCTTCCCGGGAAGGGAGGGGAGCGTTCCAGCCGAGCCTCTTGTGTAAGGGACGACATTGGCATGACAACAAACATCACCTGCCTCTCTCTGCTGCTGCTCATCAGCCCTTCCCTCATCTGCCTCAAACCCCCTCCTGCCCCACTCCTAGGGGCCCAGCAAAGCACCTCTGCCTCTGCAAGTGGCCAAACCTTTGAGCTGTTGAACACCAATATTTCAGTCTCTTACAGGAACCTCCAGAGATTTCTGCTCCAGGCCTACACCCAGAGCAGGGCTGGTGCCAAAGCTGTACCAAGGTGCTTGGGGGCATCAGGAAATTCAATGCTGAACATTCCCTGCTGTAGAGATTCCTCTCTGCTGCTGCAGGATCTGTCCCACAGCTCCACCACCCATGCCATTACACAGCTTGGGTTGTAAGGGACTCTCTAGATCAGGCTGTCCAGCTATCTGCGGAAGCAAGGCCAGCTGGATCAGGTTGCCCAGGGCTTTATCCCTCCACTGGGATATGGAGAGGAGAGGAGAGCCTGAGTAGATACTCCAAGCCTGATGTTTTGTGCTCAGTTTTGTGGTCCTTTTGCAGGCTGGCCTTTTGCACATGGCTCATTTCCATCCTGCTCTTCTCCATGTCCATCCTGCTCTATGGTGGCCAGATGCTCCTGCTCACTGGCACTCTGATCCTCTCCTCGCTGCTCCTCTTCTCCACTGCGAGGAACACCCTGGAGTGCCCCATCCAGTTCGGCCCAGCTGCCTTGAGAACAGACTATGGTGAATCCTTTTGGCTGGCATTAGCAACAGGTGAGTGCTCAGCTTGCTTCTGGGGCTTTCCTTCTCCATCCCTGCAGAGGCGATGGCCCAACAGCACCTCATCCCTTCTTTCCCCATGGCTGGTCACAGAAAATTATAATTTTAGGTTAGAAGATTTTAGATTAGGATTATCAAAGTTGGGGAGAGAAAGAGATGAGCATTCCAGATATTTGAAAATTTGAAGCTGCCTGCTGGATAGAGATGCCCTCTGCCTTTCAGGACCTGCTCCTCTTCCAAGCAGCAATTGTTTCCTTTGATCAAACCAGAATTTTCCATGTTACATCACCTCCAGGGAGACCAGCCCTTTCCCTGTAGCAGGTGGTAACTAATTCCCCCTGGGTGCTTCAGGCTAAGCAAGCCCAGGTTCTCCAGCCTTTCCCTGGCCTGGTGGGCTCCAGCCCCAACTCTCTGCCCCCGTTCACTGACCTCTCTTTTGTGCTGGGGAGCCCACAGTGATGCCAGAATCGCCGTGGGGAAAGAGAAACCAGCCCCTCTGCCTGCCTGCTGGGTGATGCCACACGTCCCTGGTGTGCAGCTGGGACCCAGCAGAGCTCCTGCAGAGGTGCCACTGTGTGTTTGCAGGGCTGCTGTGCCTGCTCCTGGGGCTGGGCATCATCATCCTCAACTCCGTGCAGCCAGAGAAGCTGAAGCTCATCTTTAGCCTGAGCAAGAGCAGCCAAGAGGAGCTGTGGGACAAGTCCTGCCTGCCAGCCCAGCCCAGCTGCTCTGCACAGGGTGGGTTCATGGTCCCCCTCGGGGAGCTGTGCCACGGGACAGCCACCCAGCTCTGAGGCACAGGGCAGGCAGGGCAAGGCCTGCAGCTGCTGCTCCTGAATTCACCAAATCCATCAGGAGCCCAGGTGGGAAGAGACATGTCAAGAACCAAGTGATGAGAATATCAGATTTGGAAAAGTGCCTCAAATACAACAGTTTTTGTTCGGTTTGGGGTGTTTTTTGTTTCTGTTTTACTGTCCCTCCCCTTGGTCCATCCCAACAAACCCTGAGTCCTCCTCAGGATACAGAGATTAAATCAGAACAAACCGGGGAGAAAGCAAGTAACTGCAGACTCACAGTTATGAGCCAAAGGAGAAGCAGAGCCCACAAGAGCCCCCTCACCCTGAAGACCCTCAGAAATTCCCCCTGCCCTTGGATGCTCTTCCCATCAGCAGCCAGGAAGCACAGATGGAGCTGTGCTCCAGGGCACCCTGCGCCCAACACCTCCTCAGTGTGAGGAGCAGGATGGCAGAGAGGAACACAATCCAGGAGGAACCAGACCAGGAGGGAGGGAGGGGGAGGAGGAATTGGGAAAGGAGGTGCAACAGTGCCTTGGAGAACAGCTATAACCAATTAGGTGAGCAGCCCCTCCAGTCTGGGTTACTCATGACAAAGATTCCTTAGTGGGTGACCTTGAAATGTGCCAAGGAGGCATTTGTCCCCATGGGAAGGATCTTGCTGCTGGGGGCTTGCCAAAAGTGCCTTTCAGATGTGCCCCATGGCCCCTTCTTAAGAAACCAGCCCCCTAAAAGTCCACAGTGTTTCAAAGGAGAGGGTTTTTTTGTAAAGTTTTATTGAAAATAATTCCTGTGCAGAACAAAACACGTTAGTGACACACAAGTATCATCTGACAGAAACAAGTAACTTACCAGCAAGGATCTCAGAAAGAAAAGTAAAAATACTGAAATTATGTACTTTACAATTAATTGGAATGAAGGTGCCCAGGTTTCCAGCATTCAGATACAGAATCCCAGAATAGTTTGGGTTGGAAGGGACCTTAAAGCTCAGCTTGTTCCACCCCCTGCCATGGGCAGCAACACCCTCCACTATCCCAGGTTGGTCCAAGCCTCATCCAACCTGGCCTGGAACACTTCCAGGAATGCAGGGGCAGCCACAGCTTCTCTAGGCAACCTGTGCCAGGGCCTCAAGACTCTCACAGGGATGAATTCCTTCCCAATATCCCATTCATCCCTGCCCCCTGGCAGTGGGAAGTTATTCCTCGTCATCCTGTCCCTCCATCCCTTGTCCCCAGTCCCTCTCCAGCTCTCCTGGAGCCCCTTCAGGCCCTGGCAGGGGCTCTGAGCTCTCCCTGGATCCTGCTCCTCTCCAGGTGAGCACCCCCAGCTCTGCCAGCCTGGCTCCAGAGCAGAGGGGCTCCACCCTCAGAGCATCTCCATGGCCTCCTCTGGGCTCTCCAGCAGCTCCAGGTCCTTCTCTGGAGGAGCTCTGCAGGTGGGGTCTCACCTGAGTGAGGCAGAGGGGCAGATTCCCCTCCCTCCCCTGCTGCCCAGCCAGTCTGAGTGTGCTCCAGCTGGACAGGGATAACTTCATTCCTCACTCTCCTTCCTTTCCTATGGCCTCTTTTTGGCCCACACCAGGCTACAAGTTTGGTCTAATAAAGGCCAAATTTGAAGGTGGAAAGAATCACATCAGCACATCCCCCACACCAAAATCCATGGTACATTTACTTGGTCCTTGTTTCTGGAGCAGTTTTTTTATTCCAGCTCCTGCAGCATCCAGCCTGCAGAAGTTGGATCCATACCTGGCTTTCCTGGATACACCTAAACCAAAAAATGTCATGTTTGGGGAAAAAATGAGCAGGTTCAATGCCAGGCTTTTGGAGTGGCAGGTGCTCCAGGCAGAAATGTGACCCATGAGCTGTTTCTCAGTTTCAGTGGGAACAGATCATTGGAGAATCCATGCACTGCCAGGGGCAGGGCATGGAGCAGGAGGGGCATGGAGCAGGGAGGGAATTCCTCCTGGGACAGGGGTCCCCAGGTGAGTGTGCAGCCCAAAGTCTCAGCAGCTGTGAGCTGCTCTGATGGCAGCCTGCCAGCACAGCCTGCCCCTTCCAGAGGGAGTCACAGGGAGACACAGTCTGGGAAGGCACTTCCCAGCAGGGACCCATCCCAGTGTGGACTTCTAAGGCAGCTGGGTGGGGAAATGCGTCTCTGGGGACATCAAGAAGAATTTGTTCTGCCCTCTTGGGTCCATCTTCAGGGAAAGAGTGAGGACTTTCTTCTAGATGCTGTTGATTTCAGTGGGCTCAGAAGGAGACAGGCCATTGCTCACGAAGTGAGGGTTGATGAACACCTCAGGCATTTCCTGGTGCTCCTCTGCTTTGTCCTCACGGAGATCAAAGAAAGTTTTCAGCAGGTCCAAACTGAGGTGGTGCATTGCCACGATGGTGATCCCAACCACCAAACAGAGCAGGCCTGGAAACAAACATGCACTCTGGTGGGTTCCTGTCACCCCAGCAGTGTCCCCACCCCACAGCCCTCCTTGGATTGTCCCCTGCCAGAGGACAATGCCTTTGCTTATGGACATTGCCTTCTATTGTATCAGCTGTTCTGAGCATCCTTAAAGCCCAGACACAGGTCTGAAAACCCAGATGAGCGATCCCAATGTCTTTGCACCTCAGGAGCTACAAATGCCTGTATCTCCTCGAGATGAGGACGGTGCTTCCCCTTTTCCCACCCCTCTCCACGGCTCTGCCAGGATCTGCTTTGCCAAGGCCCAGGCTGGGGCTCTGGGGAGCTGCCCTTCCCACCTGGGGGGAAGCCCTGGGACACAGTGATGTTTCCTGGGGCACCCCAGTGCTCTCACCAGTTGCTAGCATCAGCCAGAAGGATCCCCCATAGGCTACATGCAGGGTCCTGGTCCCAATCTGGATCAGGCACATCGGGGAGTTCCTCACGGTGGAGAAGGAGAGCAGAGAGAAGATCATGAAGGCCCCCGTGGCCAGGAGCATGTATCCTCCATAAACCAGGACAGGCATGGAGAAGAGAATGTTGGAGATGACCCACGTGCAAAAGGCTGCCCTGGAGACAGGAGGAGACCAAGAGATGAGTGGCGTGAGTGCCATGGATTAGGATGCTCTGTGTGAGGATTTCCATGTGATGCCATGGATTAGGATGCTCTGTGTGAGGATTTCCATGTGGTAGGAGCAATCTGGGCTCCAAGTGCTCTGTAGGAGGTGGAGAAGCTCTGTGGGCAGGCAGGAATGATCCCTAATCCCCATGCTGAGCAGGTACACGTGCAAGGCTCACACTGCTACATCCAGAAGGCAGAAACACAGATCTCCTCCTCCCATTGCTCAGCCCACAGACAGCACCAGCCTCGGGGAGGCTCTGGCAGCCCCTCAGTGTACCTGGACCACCCCAGGTGCCTGCCCTTCCACATGTGGGGCAGTGTGGACCCTGAGAGCAGCACCCAGGACTGAGATAAGTGCAGAAGCAGGCAAAGGTCATTTGCAGTAGCTCTGCACTTGCTGAGGAGTTGGGCTACAGAGGAAGGCCTCAGCTATGGACCAGGAGCTCTTGTTCCATGGCATTGCCAGGCTTCTTCCCTAGTGCCTGTGTCCCTGCTGTCAAGCACCAAGCAGGGAGAACAGCACTGCAGTGGTTCCTGATGGCCAGCACGTGGTGGAAGGGACCATCCCCTGCCAGCTGGGGACCAGCCCTCCCCCAGCCCAAGTGGGCACTGACATATCTCTGACCTTGCAAAAGAATCAAAATCTACTCCACAATAACAGCAGCAGCATCTTTTCCTCACCTGATCCCAATCTTTGATACAAAATCCACTCACAGGTAGGGTTGGGAGAGTTCTTCATGTGTCCATGGGCCTCTCTGGGCCACCAAGGACAGCAGCTTCAACTCCATCCATGGGGATGGACTTCTGCCACCACCACCACACCACAGCAGGGACCTGCAGCACGTTCCTCTCTCCTGTGGATTTCTCCAGCAGGGAGAACCAGAACTTCTTCTCTGCTCATCCTAAAGTGCTTCCAGTGCCCAGCAGGGCCCCCTCCAAGCACACAGCTTCCCTCCTGGCAGGATGCCATCCCACCCATCCCAAAGGCCGAGGGGAAAGGCAGCCAAGCTCTGCACACCCCTGCAGGTCCCCAGTGCAGCAGGAGAGGAGGGCTCACCAGAGCATGGCTGAGGCGTAGTGGCCGGCGATGCGGTACTGCCTGTGCACAGCGCAGGGGCTCTGCGAGCTGAACTTCTCTGCCACGTACAGGATGGGGCTGGGCAGCCCCTTGTGCAGCCCCTGGCTGTAGCTGCGGTCGTAATCCGCCCCAAAGCTCCAGGGAAAGTGCTCGTTGTAGTCGATGGTCTCGTTGATCTGCTGCACCGGGTTTCCTGCGGGAGGCAGCGGCTGAGCTCCCGCTGTGCCAGCAGCCGGGCACTGCCAGCCTGCAGCCGGGCACCGCGGGGTCCCAGCAGCCTGCAGACACAGCGAGGGCCCCGCAGGGCAGCTGCAGGCCTGCTGGGGCCGCGGCCACTCCAGAGCTGCAGATGGGCACGGCAGACTCACCCCTGAGCGTGACGTTCACCCCGGCCAGGCCGATGTGCAGCCCGATGTCCGCGTTCACCTGGGCAGGGCTGAAGGACTTGTAGGAGGTGTTTGCCTGCACCCAGCCACTCTCCCAGTCCCCTGTGAACTGGACAACTGCCAGGAAAAATAAAGCTGGGGTTAAAGCAGGTCTGGTTTCAGGCTTTGCTGTGCTCAAGGGGAGAATCACAGGTGAGTGGCAGCATTCCCACCATGGCACTGGAAGGGAGTGTTAGGAGGGCAGGAATGCTGATTCAGCCACCAGGACGTGCCCCAACCAGCTCCCACACCCTGCAGAGCTCAGGTCCTCCCCTTGCTAAGCATCCACTCCCTGGATCCGGGAACAGCGGAGCTCAGATCCCCAGGCATGGACGTCATGATCTGATTTCTCCTTGGACATCCTCTCCAGAACTTCCCTGCAAGCTCCCCACCATGGCAAGCACCACGCCACCCCGGGACA